ATAAGGCCATAGTAAATCAATAGTGCTAACTGGCTAGCTACCCATGACAAAATTAAATCTACCTTGCATAACATTAGTTTTAGGTCATTTTTGCCTGTTTAACTAGCTGGCTAGCTAGATTATTACAATTCACATACAGTTGAAGTCGGAAGTTTACATACATTTAGGTTGGAGTCATTAAAACTAGTTTTTCAACCACTCCACAAATGTCTTGTTAACAAACTATGGTTTTGGCAAGACGGTTAGGACATCTCCTTTGTGCATGACACAAGTAATTTTTCCAACATTTGTTTACAGACAGATTATTTCACTTATAATTCACTGTATCAGAAGTTTACATACACTAAGTTGACTGTGCCTTTAAACAGCTTGGAAAATTCCAGAAGATGATGTCATGGTTTTAGAAGCTTATGATAGGCTAATTGACATCATTTGAGTCAATTGGAGGTGTACCTGTGGATGAATTTCAAGGCCTACCTTCTAACTCAGTGCCTCTTTGCTTGACATCATGGGAAAATCAAAAGAAATCAGCCAAGACCTCAGAAAAGAAAATTGTAGACCGCCACAAGTCTGGTTCATCCTTGGGAGCAATTTCCAAACGCCTGAAGGTACCACATTCATCTGTACAAACAATAGTACGCAAGTATAAACACCATGGGACCACGCAGAAGTCATACCGCTCAGGAAGGAGATGCGTTCTGTCTCCTAGAGATGAACGTACTTTGGTGCGAAAAGTGCAAATCAATCCCAGAACAACAGCAAAGGACCTTGTGAAGATGCTGGAGGAAACAGGTAGAAAAGTATCTATATCCACAGTAAAACGAGTCCTATATCGACATAACCTGAAAGGCCGCTTAGAAAGGAAGAAGCCACTGCTCAAAAACCGCCATAAAAAAAGCGGTTTGCAACTGCACATGGGGACAAAGATCGTACTTTTTGGAGAAATGTCCTCTGGTCTGATGAAACATAAATGGAACTGTTTGGCCATAATGACCATCGTTATGTTTGGAGGAAAAAGGGGGACACTTGCAAGCCGAAGAACACCATCCCAACCGTGAAGCACGGGGGTAGCGGCATCATGCTATGGGGGTGCTTTGCTGCAGGAGGGACTGGTGCACTTCACAAAATAGATGGCATCATGAGGAAGGAAAATGATGTGGATATATTGAAGCAACATCTCAAGACATCAGTCAGGAAGTTAAAGCTTGGTCGCAAAAGGGTCTTCCAAATGGACAATGACCCCAAGCATACTTCCAAAGTTGTGGCAAAATGGCTTAAGGACAACAAAGTCAAGGTATTGGAGTGGCCATCACAAAGCCCTGACCTCAATCCTATAGAATATTTGTGGGCAGAACTGAAAAAGCGTGTGCGAGCAAGGAGGCCTACAAACCTGACTCAGTTACACCAGCTCTGTCAGGAGGAATGGGCCAAAATTCACCCAATTTATTGTGGGAAGATTGTGGAAGGCTACCCGAAATGTTCGACCCAAGTTAAACAATTTAAAGGCAATGCTACCAAATACTAATTGAGTATATTTAAACTTCTGACCCACTGGGAATGTGATGAAAGAAATAAAAGCTGAAATAAATCATTCTCTCTACTATTATTCTGACATTTCACATTCTTAAAATAAAATGGTGATCCAAACTGACCTAAGAGGGAATTTTTACTAGGATTAAATGTCAGGAATTGTGGCTAAGGTGTATGTAAACTTCCAACTTCAACAGTATAGCTAGCTGATAATTCTGAAGTAAAACGTTTGCTTTGTGTATACAGTGATCCCTCGCCACTTCGCGGTTCACTTATCGCGGATTCGCTATTTCGCGGATTTTCATAATGCATTTTTTTTTTTTTGGTGCATTGTGCTCTGCATTCTGATTCGCTAAAAACTCACTCCCGCTTCTTGTATCAAAACATGCTACGAATTGTGCTATCATTTTGTCGTCTCGTGCAGTTATGTGTACGTACATAAAACAGCTTGGCAAATTTACATTAAGTTGGCCAAATTATCTTGTAATTTCGAACATCTCCTAAACCCATAATGTCGACGAAACGGCCTGGACCGACAAAAGCACCTGCGGATGGGCCCAAACGGCGGAAGATGCTACCTATCTCAGATAAAGTTAAACTTCTGGACATGCTAAGGGAAGGTAAAAGCTATGCAGCCGTTGCTCGCCATTACGGAATCAATGAATCTTCCGTTCGTTACATAAAGAAGGAGGAAAAAAACATAAGGACGACAGCAGCAGTCAATTTTAATACGAATGCAAAAAGGGTTGTAACTGTCCGCAACAAGACCATGGTACGGATGGAGACGGCATTAGCTCTGTGGACTAATGACTGCAGGAAAAAAAACATAACCCTGGATACAAACGTTATCTGCACAAAAGCGAGAATGCTGTATGAAAACTTTGCTGTCAGTGACGGGGAAGAGGGAGAGGATGCCGGGCCCTCAGCAAGTGCTGCTGAAGGCCTGCTGGAAAAAACTATGGCCAGAGGCAGTGCAAAACGCAACCGGAGGCTCGCTTGACGAGGTCCACCACTCTGCCGTAGAAACAGCTGTGAATCTGGCTAAACAGATTGGAGGAGACGGCTTTAATGACATGAGTCCGGATGACATAAACGCCCTGATTGATGGAGACGCACAGCCGCTGACCGATGCAGAGCTGGCAGAAATGACAAAGCCACAAAGCGACGATGAAAGAGAAGAGGGAGAAGAGGACACGAGAGATGAGGAGGAAGGACTAACGCTTGGTCGCTTAGCAACCATGGTGCGAATGGCCACTGAACTTAAGCGAGTAGCTGAGGAATGGGACCCTTTGATGAGCCGTTCATTACAGTTCTCCAACGTAATCGATGGTGGCATGTCGGTGTACAAGGATCTTTTTGCAAAGAAGAAAAAAGAGCGACAACAGCTGCCTATCACTATGTTCTTCTCCCGAACAAACACACCTGCACCGCGGGCTTCAGAAGAAGAGAACACTGCAGAGCGCAGTCAGGATGCAGCGGCCCAGTCTGAAGAGCAGTGAAACGGCCTACACGTGAGTCACTGTATTTGTATACATGTAATAGTTGCTAATTGTAAAAAAAAAAAGTTTTCTATTTCGCGGATTTCACTTATCGCGGGTCATTTTCGGAACGTAACCCCCGCGATAAACGAGGGATTACTGTATCTTGTTTAGTCTATTGTTGCCATTGTCCCAGCTGGAAGAAGGTTCAGTGAAGGGGGAGGTGCAGCGTTAGGTAATACATTTGGGGAGTGCGAGTGCTTCTTAAATGTAATGTTTTATCCATTCTCCACACTCTCGTCCTCACAAGAATGTCCTCTGAGAATGCATTCTGAGAGTGTGGAGTACGGTAGTATGCATATTGAGAAACACCCTGTGTTTAAAAGCGCTGTCTGTGTGTGTGTCCCTTGCCAACAGACAAAGCTGTGAATGGATCAGTAGTTCACCAGTCAGGGCCTTGATTAGCTCCGCTACAGTAACAAGGCATGTTGTGTAATGAGAAAAAAAAATTGGGTGGAGAGAACGTTTCTTTAGAACTGATACACAGAAATGTTCATGTAAGGTTCCCATGAAATGTGTCTAGAACATTAATATCTTATGTTCTAAGAATATGGCAATCATGTTCTGTGTAAGTTTGGTGGGACTTTGATGGAATATTCTCCTAACCATAGGAAATTGGACACAGGACTGTTCTTGCAACGTTCCCATGAAACGTGTCTAGAACATTAATATATTTTGTTCTGAGAACATGGCAATCATGTTCTGTGTAAGTTTGATGGGACGTTGATGTAATATTCTCCTAACCCTTTCCATGAAACGTGTCTAGAACATTCATATCTTATGTTCTGAGAACATGGCATGGTTTGACATTAAGGGAATGTTCGCCTAACTCTAACCCCAAAACATGCTAAATAGGTTGTCAGGAGGTTTTTTCTAACATACATGGAATGTTCCTGGAAACTGGACACTCAAACATCAGGGAAACATTACAAACACTTTCTCTCTCCCTAGAATTGTTAGCTGGGAAGTGCTCCAGGCTTGTAGGAGATGAGAAAAAACACACTCCTAGCAGTTGTACCAATAAGGTATTTTTCACATCTGTTTTAATTTGTAGATGCAGCACACACTAGAAGAGCATTATTCATTAGGTTGAGTTTATCAACAGGAACTGCAGTAACGAACGCATAATGCCTTCCTCATGGTGTGTTTGTGGCTTTGCATCACACATCAGACAGGTTGAGCGTGTGTGTGGATTCAAAGACGTTTTCCGAACGTCTCAAGTACATTTTCCATCCACTCTGTAGCCTTGAGCGGCTATATTTGGGCTTGTTTGTGCACACCACCACATCAGTCAGTCTTTAAGGAGGTGCACTGGGGAGGGGTGTGTTCATCTGAGTCCACGTGTTTGTTTTTTCAATCCCTTACTCTGCAGATTTTACTACGACATTTCACAACCTACTTGAATGTGGGCTGTGCACTGCTTCGGTATGCTGGCCTTTTCTGGGTCATGAATGTGATACATTTTCAGGATAGGATTGTTCCACTGAACAAGGTCTTCAAGAAAGGATGGGTAAAAAAACTTATCAGAGAACCTTGAAGAAACATTTAACCTCCCAGATTGAATAGTGATGTAATGTCAGGGTTTCTGGAAATGTAAAATATCTGTTATTTAACTGATGGAATGCTCTCTTAAATCTTTATATACGTTAGCTTGAGTCAACAGCATTATCATCAATCGCTCCTGGTGTACTTTATCACCCTTTATTATAGGAAAAGTCAATGCTGGTTGTTGAAGTGAATTAATAAAGGAAAAAATATAATGCACATCCTGCTAGTTCAGGTGCTGGACATAAAAACGAATGAAGAATGAAATGATGTCAGCAATTGGATCATATCCATATAATTGTTGCAGACATCATTTTTCCAGTTGGAGTGAATTAACAAGTTGCCTGCCTGTTCTTTCTTCTCATAGCGGCATTGCCCTTCCTCATAATGACCATCGTGTTCCGGCCCTACCAGAGGGGTGTGTACTGTGACGATGAGGACATCAAGTACCCCGTCAAACCTGACACTATCACCCACGGCCTGCTTGCTGCAGTCACCATCTCCTGCACCGTCATCATCGTGAGTCCCTCCCTATACTTTCCTCTCTGACACCTAGGTGAGATAAAGAACATCTGACCACTGATTCCCAGACCAGTGTCACAAACAGGTGTTTATTTTTGTAGCCAGTGGACCAAACCAGATATTATCTGTCATACTGGAAGGTTAGATGTAATTCAAGCCCCTCTCTCTTTCTCTTCCCATAGCTAGCATCAGGAGAGGCTTACCTGGTCTACAGTAAGAGGATCCACTCTAAATCCGAGTTCAACGGGTACGTGGCGGCGCTCTACAAGGTGCTGGGTACCTTCCTGTTTGGGGCAGCTGTCAGCCAATCACTGACGGACCTGGCTAAGTTCACCATCGGACGCCCGCGGCCCAACTTCATGGCCGTCTGCAACCCCAAGGTCTGCAAAGGCTACATGCTGGATATCAACTGCACCGGCAATCCTCAGGATGTCACTGAGTCCAGGTAGTTACTGAGGTAGAGGCTATCAGGGGAATATTGTTGACGGGTGCATTGCTCTATGCCAGTGGTTAGTGCTGAAATGGAACCAATGCTTGCACAAAATGCTGCTCACCAGGACCAGGGTTGGTGACCACAGCTTAATGCTCTGGTAGAAACACACTGAATAGATCCACTGTAGTCTCCAAACAGCCATGAAAGGTTGACATAACAGGTTTTAAGAACATACATTCTTTCTCTATTTTCCAGGTTGTCCTTCTACTCCGGCCACTCCTCCTTTGGGATGTACTGTATGCTGTTTCTAGCAGTGAGTATACAAGGCTCATGGAACAGACCCAAATATTTTACTACAAACACCGTCATATTCAACATTCTCAAATGGAATCCATTGATGTAATGCCTCTCCATTTAAATTAGGAGTATCGGGGTAGATATGAAAAGGCAAAATAGAACAGGCTTTACCGAGAGGGATTGTGCTCATATATATATATATATAAGGGCAAGTCAAAAGTTCAGCTGACTTTGGACACAGAGGCTAATGCCCTGCTGGACTGTCATAGACCGGAGATGAAGGCTAGGCCAGTGTTCTGTTTCTGGTTATCCAGTTCAACTGCCCTGGCCCTTGTCATTGTGTATTTAGTATTTATTTAGTATTTATTAGGATCCCCATTAGCTGCTGACAAGGCAGCCGTTACTCTTCCTGGGGTCCAAACAGGAATAAAACAACACATCACATCAAAACAATAGTCTACTCCATAAATAAAACAATGACATCACAACAAAACAATCTACATAATAAATAAAACAATTACATCACCACAAAACAATAGTCTACATCATAAATAAAACGATACATCACACAGACATTGTGCACTATACAAATTTACACTGCTCCACCATTACACATCTACAATATAAAATGTACAATATTACAACGATACAATATTACAATATTGGTGTGTGTACGTGCGTGACTTCTCAGTCCGTGTTTTTCCGTATCTTCACAGTCAATGTTGTGCCGTGAGGTGTTGTTTTATCTGTTTTTTTTAAATCTGATTTTACTGCTAGTTTGAGTTACCTGATATGGAAGAGAGTTCTATGTGGTCATGGCTCTATGTAGTACAGTGCATTTCCCAGCGTCTATTTTTGGACTTAGGGACTGTGAAGAGACCCCTGGTGTCATGTCTTGTGGGATATGTATGGGTGTCTGAGCTGTGTGCTAGCTGTTTGAACAGACAGTTTGGTACTTTCAACACATCAATAGCTCTCAAAAATACAAGTAGTGATGCAGGCCATCACTCCTCTACTTTGAGCCAGGAGAGATTGACCATATAACTGGGCAGTAGTCCAGGTGTGATAAAACTAGGGCCTGTAGGACTTGTTTGGTTGATTGTGATGTCAAGAAAGCAGAGCAGTACTTTATCACAGACAGACCTCTCCCAATCTTAGCAACCGTTGCATCAATATGTTTTGAGCATGTCAGTTTACAATCTAGGGTTACACCAAGCAGTTTAATCTGCTCAACTCACTCAATTGCCACATTATTCATTAAAAGATTTAGATGAGGTTTAGGGTTTAGCGAATGATTTGTCCCAAACACAATGCTTTTAGTTTTTTATATATTTTGGAGTAGCTTATTACTAGCCACCCATTCTAAAACTGACTGTAGCTGTTTAAGGGTTGCAGTGATTTCACTTGCTGTTGTAGCTGATGTGTATAATGTTGAGTCATAAACACACAAGCTTTACTCAAGGCTAGTGGTAGGTCATTAGTAAAAATAGAAAACAGTAAAGGACCAAGACAGCTGCCTTGAGGTATACCACACTCTTACGTGAGAGAGGCTTCCATTAAATAAAACCCTCTGTGTTATATTAGATAGGTAGCTCTCAATCCACAATATGGCAGAGGATGTAAAGTCATAACACAGCATCTTTTTCAGCAGCAGATTACAATCGATAACCTCAAAAGCTGCACTGAAGTCCAACAAAACAGCTCCCACAAACTTCTTTCAGCTTATCATCAGTCAGTTGTCTCAGTGCCATACATGTTGAGTGCCCCTCCCTATAAGCGTGCTGAAAGTCAGTTGTTAATTAGTTTACTGTGAAATAGCATTGTATCTGGTCAAACACAGTTATTTCAAAAAATGTACTAAGCATCGGTAGCAGGCTGATTGCTCAGCTGTTTTAACCAGTGAAGGGTACTTTAATATTCTTGGGTAGCGGAATGACTTTTGCTTCCCTCCAGGCCTGAGGGCACACATTTTCCTGTAGGCTTAGATTGAAGAGATGACAAATAGGAGTGACAATATAGTCCACTACCATCCTCAGTCATTTTCCATCCAAGTTGTCAGTACCAGAGGGTTTGTCATCATTGATAGACAGCAATAAATCTAGCTATGGAAAGACGGGCAGGCAAGGCAGGCGCCTCTAGCAGATGACCCGGTCCTCACTGCCAATCAAAGCAATCAGTAATTCGCTCTGCTTTGTTTATCCCACAGACCCTTTAATATTCCCTATTAGATGTGATTCATATCTCCATTTCCCTACAAGTGTTGAATGCTGAGATTGAGTGTATGTGTGGTAGGGGGGCATGCATGGATGCCAATTTACACACCTACTATGGCAGGAGCCTGGTAGCAGCCCAGAGAAATGAATGTGCCAGTTAGACATTCTGGCAGCAGCTCTCCTCTTCTGTGAAAAGGGTTTTCTGTCCATTGTTAGGCATAAATTAGATTAACATTCAACATCTTTTCATGGTTTATGCGATTCTAAGCATACCAAATTTCAGTTTTTGCTGTGATTTGATTTAGTATGAATAGGCATTTAACTTTTAAATGATAAATGATTGCCTGTTATCATGTTTATCTGACTAAATCAAATCACAGTTTATTTAATGTGCATTTAACAAAGTAACAACACACTTGACAGAAAGAAAATAAATACAATTATTGCCTGTTACATGTTTATCTGACTAGTGACTACATGTAGCCTGCTGATGTTAGCATTGTGTAAAAGCTAAACAATGTGCTTTCATATTAGCCACTTGTAGAATGGACTCCCACACACTGTATACATGAGAATAACATTTACTAACAAATGCTGTGTTTCAGACATTCATTGAGGCATATTTGATGGACTGAAATATGATGATAGGCTTAGTGTAACTGGGGCCAGTTTACAGTCAAAAACATTGCCTTATTTGTTGAGATGGTTCACTATTTGCGAACACAAAAACCACTAATGACCTCAATCAGCAGTAAAAGCAAATTGTCTTCAAACAAAGATAGCTCTTCTTATGAGAACTAAAACATCTCCTCCCACTCTTTCTCTCTAGTTGTATGTCCAGGCGAGGCTGAGGGCAAAGTGGGCCAGACTCCTCCGACCCACGATCCAGTTCTTCCTGGTGGCCTTTGCTGTGTACGTGGGCTACACCCGCGTGTCTGATTACAAGCACCACTGGAGCGACGTTCTGGTGGGCCTCCTCCAAGGCGCTCTCATTGCCATCCTCAACGTGAGTGTTGCCTGCTGGCTTTTTATTGTTCCTAGTTCCCTGTTTTGATTTAACTTCTTTCAGCAACGCCTTTTGGAAGTCTCGGAGACGTGGGTGATTCATATTGGAAAGCGAACCCACAATTCGTATTTCAGACTACTGCATGCAATTAGGGACCCTCCCGAGCCCAATGTTTTATGACTTCTCTGGCCTGGTTAGAGAGCTGGAGGGGTTGTGCAGCGCACTGTGCGTTCCTCTCAGATGTGGAGCAGCAGCATGGTGCCCTCCACCACCAGACATACAGCGTACAATCACATTTTCCAGCCCTACCCTTGGTCCTCTCACTTTGTCTGACCCACACTATTTCCCTCCTCTCCTCCCTACAGGTGCGCCACGTATCAGACTTCTTCAAGCAGGGTCCTCCCCGCTGCTCCAGCCCAGAGACGGCCGAGAACGAGGAACTGGAGCGCCGCAAACCCAGCCTGCAGATTGCAGACGCAGATCACAACAACCATTACAGCTACCCAGGGCCTGTGTGAGAGGGGCCAACCCAGGGGCCCCCAGACTGTAAACCGCTCTCACAACAAGCTCCCACAAACCACTGGACTGACTGACGGGGCTGCGCAGAGTACCAGAATCCTCTATGGCCTGGGTGCACCAACGCATGAGTGGGAGAGGACTTTTATATTGGGACATCATGTTTGATGTTCACTACTTTTTTAGTATATTTGTCTCATGTTTTTATGCTGTTGTTTTTTACACAATAGATTAGGTAAGAGTACCAAACATTCAGATAAGAAAGAAAAAAAGAAAGAAGGAGAAAGACCATTCTCAGAAGAGAAAATGTCTAGATGAGTCCCATTTTAGTGCACCTTAGTCATATGAGTAATCTGAACTTCAGTGGGAGTTTGGGATTGATATGTTGAATGTTTCATCTATGTGAAATGGACTGCAGTGATTTAGAAATGTTGATGTTGATTGTGTAAGCTTGATATACCACTAGATCACAAACAATCAATGCAAACGTTTGGCATAAAGATTTTAGCTATGTATATTCTGGCCTCAATCGCTCTATTTTTTATTTTTTAATGAAGAAATCAATGTTTTAACAGTAACATTGCTCCTTTGACAATAATTGAAGGTATTTGGAAAGTGCCTATACATTTTATTTTATAGATTACTTTATTCACAAGGTCGGAAATGTATTTTATGCCAGCCCTGTTAAGGTATTGTGCAATCACAATCACCCCTGCTAGCCACTATGAACCACAAATACTGTATCTGCTAATATTGTGTCATTTTTCTTTTTTCAAGTATGTTATTTTTTTCCTGTGGCCCATATCAAACCAGTGCCTTCTTGGACTAGTGCCCTTTAAGATTGCCACAAATGGATCAGATTCCAAGTTCACAACACAAACCATATGCCTTAACATGGGCTTTTAAGGGTTGTAATGATACAGCTTACCAGTCGAGTCGTTTGTGGCAAGCTGGTATACTGCTCTATGCAAAGTTCAAAGAGTTTTCCTTTCCTGTGTGGACTGATGGGGCTAATTTGTGAAGAAATGCTCCTGTACAGTGACTATGTCAGGCCTGGCCCTGCTTGGCACAGGAGGATTGATGACAGATCAGTCAGCTCTGGCAGAGAGAGGCTCACCTGGTAGTGATTGTGAGGCTCAGACAGCTGACTCTGAGTGCTGACCTGTGACTGTGGAATGGCAAGGCACTCAGAGGGGCCTCCTGCGGAGATGCGGGCCCTCCGGACTTCAAGACTTTAAGACTTTTCTTTGAATTCCATAAATGAGAACCACCTGGAGCAGCTTCAGTGAAGTGTTGTTGTTGTGTAACGTCTCACCTGTGTATTACTGAATGCCCCAGCCCAAATTTAGCCATGAAACAATAGTATCACAATGTTATGGGGTTTGAGTCTCCTCCAGGTTTCCATCATAAAAGGCCCTCCGTCAGCCTTGTTCTGGGTGGTGTGTGTGTGTTCCATATGTAATAATACTATTCCCATTAGAGGATTGGTGCCTTAGAAAAGGTCCTGGTTAGCCATTATCTGTATGTCAAACATTATGCTGTTCTGTTCACTGTACATTTATCTATCCATAGCTGTTTATGTATACACAAAAGGATTCTTAAATAAATACCAACTACACAATGCTTCAATGTAATGTCATATTTTCATATTAACAAAACAGCTGAGTCTGTCTGTGTTAAACTGTGACCTGTCAGGAAAGTCTCTGGGTAGCTTTCATCAAGGTTTAATCTTAGATGTATGCATTGTCTTGACACGTTATTTGTCATACATTCCATTCCACATTTAATGAGTTCGCATTCCAAAGCACTCATTCGGTCATTGGGTAATCAAATAATTAGATGCCACGCTGGTTTTACTCTTGCAACACATTTCACAAGTATGGGTTAGGTGGTGGGGCTTGTGAGTTCAGAAGTGTGAAATGTAACTGATCTCACATTGTGTCTGAGTGATTTGTAAATCGTGAGGTGGGTATGATATCAGAGTGCCTTTTGAAATTTGTGGGAAATAAGAGAAACAGGATGCCTTGCCATCTAGTCTGCTTTTGACTAGATGGGATCCAGCTTTTGTCAGATTTGACTTTTTGTAGCAGGTTAGGAGAATTTACGCAGCAGGTTAGAAGAAATAGGTTAAGGTTAGGAAAAGGGTTAGGGTTAGCTAAAATGCAAAAATATATACACTTTTGGCGTCAATTTAACAAAAGCTGTATCCCTTCTAGCCATGACCATCTAGTCTGGGCATGCTCCAGCTAGCTTTTTTATAGTAATCATGAATCATGTTTGCCAGCTGTTCTCTGCTTGATGATTCCAGTCCTTCTGCACTGACATACTGTACGAGGTGGAAGGTCTCACTCAGAAAAAATAAAAATAATAATGTTACTTTTTGTTTATTTCACAAATATACAGTAACTTATATTCATCCACTGATAAAGGATTGGTATCTGCTTTTATGGGTCTATTGTTTCTAAGAGAAAAATCTGACCATAAAAATATAATCCCTATGAGCTTGACATTATTCTTCCTATTGACAGTGGAATTCCCATGAGTAAAAGTTTTTCTGACTGTTAAAAACACCCTGCCTTGCCTATTGTTCCTGTGGAAAGAGGAAAGAGGAAGAGGAAACCAACATTTCTCTGTAAAAAGCTGTTCATTGTTCTGCTACTACCATGGTTCTCTTGTCTGAGTTTCTGTTCTTGTGTGAGGAGGGTATGTTTAGGGATTCTTCAGTCTCCGCTTCACTGTTTGTGTGCACTTGGCCCTGAGTATTTTCACTAGCCATTGTAGACAGTTTATCCTGTGTACATTAATGAGATGAATAGAGATGTCACAATCATCAATGTTGTCTGTTGGGTTTCTGCTCTTGCTCACTTGTGATGGAGTAGAGCGTTGGAGAAGCTATCTTGAGGTGGTTAATCCTGACTCTTAGGACACTTCCACTGACATTTTCTGACCATTTAGACATACCGGTAGCAACACTGACTACATGAGGTTATCAGTTTGATTTGTGCCTGAGATTAGTGTCTGAGAGCCCAAGGCTTGGCTTTGCATGGTGGGAATATGGCTCACCTGGGCAGATCCATGAATTACATGGTTCTTAGTTGGAGACATCCTGTCCTGTGGCTGATTTATAGCCCCAGCTCTGTCCTGCTTTACAAGTTCAGTACAAAATCCCTTGACTTATCCCCCTGGCTTTTCAACAGGACTAATTAAAATCAAGTGCCAGGGATTGGGAGAGGTTGAGCAAGACTCTCTACCCCCTCAAAGGGAAGGGCAGGAGAATAGGACCTCTCAACCAAAATAAACACACACATTTAGATCTAAATAAACATTGGACCACAGGGATATTTTTAAAAGTCTTATTGGCAGCTCAAATGAACACCACTCATTTAAAACAATATTAGCTACTGACCTATTTCAAAATTCCTGCTTATGTATCTAACTTGTTTTGTGTTTTCGATGTCAAAACAACTCAAGTCAGGAGAGTAAAAATTGTTAATTGAGTTGCAATTAGGTACTTTGAGTGGACTTAAATGCATATGCTACATTTCTCAGTAATAAATAACACATTCATACAATGGTACCACGAGGTTGCTGAATATTTGTTACTATGGTAACACAGGCACATTTCCGAGCAATGAGTGTGAGACTACGGACTTGCTAAGAGCTGAAGTGCTAAGACATTTCAACCCCTTATTTAGCATAGTAATAAGAACATTCATAGATCTGACTGGAGAGGTAACATCACGATAAATATGACTGGGCTAACCTTGCAGGTGTGCATTTATTATAACCCTGAAATCTCAGTATTAATCCAAAATACAGGAATCATAATCTTCATACATGACGAATAACACAGTAATTCACACAATTCCTTAAAACCCATCTGAGCTCTAGAGACATGAATGGTCCAGGAATTGGGATCCTGTGAATGGCTCAGGGCCTGGTGAAAAGTGGCTCTTCAAATGAACGGGTAGAGAAACCTCAGCTGGGAAGAAGTATAGAAGTCACACAGACAGACAGACAGACAGACAGACAGACAGACAGACAGACAGACAGACAGAGACAGAGACAGAGACAGAGACAGAGACAGAGACAGAGACAGAGAGAGAGAGAGAGAGAGAGAGAGAGAGAGAGAGAGAGAGAGAGAGAGAGAGAGAGAGAGAGAATGGGCTCCGGCTGCAGTGTTTGGGGCTGTGGCTCCAGCCCTGCAGTACGCCTCATTCTGGTCCGACTCACACACACTGTGACGACCATGTGGTCCCAAGCTGGAATGCCTGGGCAAACACTGGAGCATGTTAGATTGCAGCCTTGTATTGTCTCTCTTCACCTCGGCCTACACTGTTATTTTGAGGCTTTCATTGGGCTGTGTCTCTGTTTATGTCCATGCGGGCAGTTCATGGTTCGCGTGCTTCAGACAAGGAAGTGAGTGCTCCTCACACTGTCAACACCCACTCTCAATGCCCCGGAGCACAAAGCGAGGTTGGTGTGGAAGAACTTGACTGGCCTGCACAGAGCCCTGACCTAAACCCCATCGAACACCTTTGGGATGAACTGGAACGCCGACTGCGAGCCAGGCCTAAAAGCCCAACATCAGTCCCCGCACAAATGTTCCAACATCTAGTCGAAAGCCTTCCCAGAAGAGTCGAAGCTGTTATAGCAGCAAAGGGGGGACCAACTCCATATTAATGCCCATGGTTTTGGAATGAGATGTTCGACGAGCAGGTGTCCACATACTTTTGGTCATGTAGTGTATCTACCATCAACTGTAGGTATACAATAGGTGTCATGGTTAAACATTTTCCTTTCTCATGCAGGAGAGGCATTTTTAGCTTAGCTCTACATTCTACCAATTAAAATGTCTCCACAAAATAAGCTGCCACTGCTTGAGTCACTGTTGTTTTGCACCTACTATTATAGGCAGCTCTCTGTCTCACTGCTGGCTCCTAATGAGACATCACCCTCATGTGGCCTTGTCCACATAGCAGCCATTCACTGTTATGTTCTGTGTTCATTGGTCGTGTCATGGATGGCAATACTCTAAATCCTCTTGAAATTGCATTGTAATCCCTAGAAATTGAATTATTCTTTCTCCAAGCCATTTGACCAAGTTTTAGTCCACCGTCATATTTGTCTTATAACTCCATTTGTCGACTTGTCTAACGCTTTAGTGAAATTGAGTCAAAACTGATTGTCATAACGGAAAAGCCACATGCCTCGTTATCAAGTATGTTAACATGTTTTGGTCCATTTCACTGCATCTATTTCAGGAAGCTTAAATTAATTTAAGTCATCTGTGATGGAGCGTAACCACGTCCTTAAGCTTATTATTTTCATGTCTAGTTGGGTTTGACTGTAAAACAGTCCAAAGCAGATATTTATAAAAGTATGTGCATGTTTATTGTGAGGGAGTTTCATCCTGCAAAATAACCAAAGGGTGGAGTTCCTCCAAATCCTTAATGTAATCACACACTCCCATCCATTCCATAGTTTGTATTGCAAATTAACCCATGGTTTGATTCTC